CAAGACAACCAGTAAAGTTATAGATGTAATGTCCAGGGTCATTTGTCACTTCCATTTGCCGTTTACCACTGATATGGTTGTAAACAGAGTCATTTGAAGTTGTTATTCACGATGGACTGACACCAATCGGAGGAACAAATGAAACCTGGGAGCACTGGACAGCTATTTTGTCCTAGTACAGGAGCTTTTACTGCAAAGGGATTGGAGCCGTAACGAACTCCATTTAATAATTTCCGTGTGGACAGCTCAGCGCTCTCACCCCTGAACTGTTTCAAACGCTTTTCAAACCTTACATACTGTGGCAGCAGGAGTTCTCCAACATGGTAACACCCTCAACACATAGGGGGGGCCTCCAGTTTGACAGAGTGAAACACCCAAACCAATTTGCATTGGGCTATCAGGAAGAGGAACGACCTCATAATGGCCCACAAGATCATCCATCAGGTAAATCTCCAACAAATCAACCTCTTCCGCAACATGGTGTTCATCTTGAGGGATCTAATCAGGATACCACACCTGAGAGCTGACACCATGGTTGAGCGAAACGGTTCCTCCTGAACAGCATGCTCTTTATGAAATGCTCCATCGTGGGATGCAGTCAAAGTGCCCACGGTAAACTCATTCAAAAAAGGTAGAAAGTTACGTTATTTCGCATGCCCTACTACAGATATACTCAGAGCATTACTGAATTCATTAACCCATCACTACTTCGTTCTTGCTTTCCACGCCCCATCTTTCTCCTTTTGATACACTCGCATTGTTTACTACCCCGCGCTAGTAACCAGACACATACTGTTTGCTCCCAAGTTTCGGCGAAGTTCCATATTCTTTTCCCCACTATCTGGCTATTCCTTTACAGGCACCTTTGCAGACACGAGTCATGAAAGATCCCACAAGCTTCCAAGCAATCCATAGCTCCCCTGTAAACTCAATCTTTAGGGTATAAATACTAGTCAATAGAAACATCCACCTCACGGGAGCTAAAAGTAGGAAAGCAGGAGAGATTTACCTGCCAATTACAGGAGTGACATAAGCGAAAAGAACGGACCCCCAATAATTTGATCCGAGAAAATGAAAAATATGAGCTTCCTGCCCTCGTAGTGTTGATTTTAGACGTTCGATGCTGTGAGTTTGCCTCCTGAACCTTTTGTACCGCCACTACCATCACGAACTTGGTCTTGTCTCGAAATTCCCTGTTAGACGTCTCCCCAGCTACAACACCTACCTAATAAAATTACTATTTCTGTTCCCATAATCTGTCCTATGATGTTGCTTGCTCCATCCCTATCCTTCGACTTTACGGTCTACCTCTATTCGATAAGGTTCTCCTTGTCACTGATATCTCCCCTGGAACCGCCCAGGTTCCTCCCTCTCCTCTGTCCCACCCCTATTCACCTCGGTTTTCCACCTCCTCTTCAATGGTTTCTCCGAACATATTTTCTTCCTTTCAGTCTTCCTTCTACAAAGGTTACAAAAAACTGTTTAGTGGCATGACATGAAAGAGACGTATCTGCACCTGAGTCCTTGAGCAAATCATACAATCCCAATAAATTCAGTCGACACTTCCTCTGCAAATTACGATTCTGTGATCATGCCGACGACTTCAACACCCCGTCCATCCTCTTCGAGAAGGAAGGGAGACGCACCAGACCCGTCAGTCAGAAGCTGAAGAATTCAGTTAGGACCGCTGGCCTCTCAGAAAAAGTGGATGATGTCACACGCTGGGGACCTAACGGAAACGCATCGTGCCTTGACTAAGTTATGATGAACGATGAACTTCTCACTGAAGACGTTTGCTTCCAACCTCCCTTGGCCTCAGTGACCACGCTGCAATAACCTTCTGCATGATGGCTAGGGAGGCTCTGCAACTGGAGACGTCCAACACCTTCCCTTGTTACAGCAAGGCCAACTATGAGACCATGGGGGACTATATCATGAGTGCGTCATGGCCGGTAGACTGGGCTCATTTCACAATAGATGAACACTGGTTGGAGGTGAGGAAAATAATCACTGGGCCACCAGTCACAGTGTACCAGAAGTAACACACAGACAATCAATGAGAACCTCATGGTTAAAGCGTGGGACAGAGAGGTTTATCCACAGCAAGAAGCAGGTTTGGTTCAAGTGGCGTACATCACGCAGGGAGTCTGACTTCTTGAACTACAAAAGGATTCGCAACAGCTGCAACATTAGAGTGCGTAGCGACAGATTTTCCTGTCAAACAAACTTGGCGGCGAGGTTACAAAGCAATCCCAAAAACTTGTACTGCTTCGTGTCGAAAAGAAAGTCGACCAGTAAGGGAGTGAATCTTGTCACAGGCCATGACGGGAGTGTACTAGGCAGTCTAGAGATTGTTGAGCTTTTCAGTACACACTCCCGAGCCAAACCTAGCAGCGACACAAGATCCACACCAACTCGTAACGACGCCGACCAGGTCGTATATAACGAATACCTCTGTTACGTCTCTATTACAGAGAAAAAAGTATTCGAGAAACTGTCGAGGCTGCGTCCAGGCAAGTCCCCTGGCTGCGATAAACTAAAACCGGCGATTCTGAAAACCTGCGCCGAGGTGCTTACTACACCACTCTGCAACCTCTTTGAGCGCTCCATAGACTCGTGCAAACTCCCTAAAGAATGGAAGAGTGCCATCTTGTCACCCATCTTCAAGGGAGGAGACAGAAGAAGCCCTGGCAGCCACAGGCCAATTGCTCCACTCCCTATTGTGTCGAAAGTGCTGGAAAGACTGGTAGCTGACACTATCTGGGAATTCCTCAATAGGGAAAACACTGTGCATACTGCTCAGCATGGCTTTCGGAGTGGTCGCTCATGTGCCACCAACTTACTAACCGCCTGGGACGACTGGACACGAAGCTGAGATAACAGAAAACCGGTACATGTTGTATTTCTCTACCTAGCCAAAGCATTTGACAGTGTCCCACCCACAGCACTGCTTCACAAGATCATGTCAGCTGGTATAAGTGAACCCCTACTCTCTTGGTCCAAGGAGTACCTGGAAGGGAGGCAGTTCTGCACCAAAGCAAACAGAATAAGGTCAAGGTGGAGGCCCTCGACGTCAGGAGTATCTCAAAGAGCGATCCAAAAACCACTAATGTTCCTCCTGTTTGTCAACGATCTACCAGACAAAATATCCTCACTCATCCTCCTTTTCACTGACGACATTAAAATTTGGAGGGTGGTAAACGAAGAAGCTGACTGCGCAGCGCTACAAGATGACTTGCAGCAACTCGAATTCTGGTCGTCGGAAAATGGCCTGAGCTTCAACCTGAAGAAGTGCAAAGTAAAGCAAGTACAATCGACTTCCAGTACATGTTGAGCAACCGTGCTGTCACCAGAGTGTCCATGGAGAAAGATTTGGGGCTCAACTTCTTCGAAACCTTGGACACCAGCTCCAACCACAAACGTATGACAACCAGAGCAAATGCCATTCTACACATTTTGCGTGGATATCTTGGCGCCTTCACTCCAAACCTCTTCCTCACCATTTTCAAATCCTACGTGCGGCCACATCTAGAGGTCTTCAATACGGTGGCTCCTCCAACACTCGAGAGAGACTTCAAGCTTCTTGAAAGAATACAAAGAACTGCAACAGAATCAGTCGTGGGGCTAAGGGGAAAGACGTGTCCTGAAAGATTTAAACACTTAAACCTATTTACCTTGGGTTATTGCAGGAAGAGGGACGATCGTATTATAACAAACAAGATCGCCCATCAGGCAGACCATGCAAATAAACCAACTTTGCCTGCAACTCAACTATCTGCACGTAGAAACCCCATTAAGATAGCACACCGGAGAGCCAATACCATACTCAGGTCCAAATTTTTCTCCCTAAGAGTATGTGTTTTATGGAATGCTTTACTGCGACATGTCGTTGTAGCTGCCTCAGTCGACTTATTCAAATGTCGGTTAGACAGTTGTGTCACATCGCACGGCCTACCACGGACGTACTCAGGGGGTCGCCAACCTACCTAGCCCACCCTCACGTTTCTCCCACCTATCACTCACTATCTCTCTGCTTAATACGCCCACATTACCCACTTATCCTCTTGTAGGAACTAAACCCACGCTACCACTCGGGCAATTCCCACATACTTTTTTCTCTCTTTTATATCTCCTTTTCGCTCCTTCCTTACTTCCCCTTCTTCAAAACCTACGTTAGACCACACCTAGAAGTGTTCAACACGGTAGCCCTTCCTCTACTAAAGAGAGACGCAAATTCTCTCGAGAAGATACAAAGAAGAGCAACAAAGTTGGCTATCGATTAACAAGCCAGACATATGCACAACACCTCGGACAACTCAACCTGTTCACACTAGGCTATCGAAGAAAATGAGGTGATCTGATGACAGCCTACAGGAGCATTCACCAAGTGGGCCACACAAATAGGACAACACTATCGTCAAAAACCGACAATCCCATGGGAACCCTACTCACATACCCGCCACAGGGCAAAGACTAGAGTGAGATCTAACTTCTTCTCCCATAGAGTATGCGCCTTATGGAACACGCCGCCGAGAGAAGTGGCCACAGCTACACCAGTCAACTCCTTCAAACGACTGCTGGATGGGTATGTGAGCACAAATAGCCTGCCACGAACATCTGTCAGTAGCAACCGATGATACGCCCTTCCATCCCTGTATTCCCCTTTGTGTTTTCCAACCCCAGCATCTGCAGTGAGATGCACCTCTCCTCTATATTATTACCGGTCACATGTATCTTTCCAAAAGTACTTTTAACTACTCCTTTTCCCACTCCCCACTCACCCCGTTTTTATCACTATTTAAATAACGCTTAACACTTACTTTCAGGTGCCTACAACGTTAGGAATTGCCAGCCGTTGATTGATCATATCAGCAGCTCCGTTGCCCCCCTCAACAAACCAAGCTACACTTTGCAGATAAAACACCTTCAAAAGGACAAACAATACCTCCAAAGCTATAAGCGGGAAAGCGCAAAGACTTCTGCGACAATCGAAGGAGTATGACCGAACAAAAAGAACCAAACCTAAACATCTAGAAGCCAGAGCTCAAAAACTGCAAGTTTCCTCTATTCGAACTGCTGATGTTGGACCGGAGCTACAGCAAGCGGGTGGATAACCGTTTTGCATTTTAGTCCGTCAAAGACCTGGAATTCTTCCATGAGACCTGAAAGCGAGCATAAAGAAATCAACTGTGTTACACTAGCCCGTGAATAGGTAATGTACATTGAAGCGACCTTCAGCTATTGCAATTCCCTTCGAAATGAATTCGTTACATTTTTCGGTTACTGCAATAGGTGTAGCTATAAAGTTCTGCCGTTCTGAAACGCGTCTCTTCTTGACATTAAACCGGTAGTCACAATTTATAACCAATAATAGGTATGTGGGAAGTGTTTTGCCGGAAATCCCTGGAAATTGCACTGTTTCATTCTTTTGAAATGTCATAATTATACTAGATATATGTCGTATTTGTGCAAGTTGCAGAGTGCCTAAAATCAAATAATTTGAGTGTTTGCTTAGTAGTTTAGTTAGAACTTCTTCGCGGAGCTTGAAAAAGCATAAGTTACCTAATGTCAACCTTATTCGGTCAAATCTTGATTACATTTCATATAAATCACCATAGTTATAGTTTTATTTGTTTCTGTACTGATGGTGTTATGTTCAGCACAGTATTCTGCTATCTATTTTTAAAATTTAGCTATTTTCAGCCAGATGTTTAAAATGATTTGAACTTCATTGGATTAGTGTACACACTAGTTCAGACGCACTTCGCAATGTTTATGATTTTTTTGATTCCCGGGTCAGTCTTCCAAGTTTTTTAAGTTATTTTCTGCCAAAAGTCATTCCAAGGGCTTTTACATATTCAAGCGCACCACTATAGGAAAACAGTGCTACACCGAAGAATATCTTTCGACATATTTCGGAATATATGTTCTAAAATGTAACTTTATAAATGGTAGTGCAATGACTCTTCATAAAATTCGGGGATACTAGCGAGACTGAAGAATCTTGGGACTTTTAACAAATTTGTTGGGAATCTTTTGGCTGTCTGTGAAAACATTGTTTGTCCCTTAGTCCACCCTGAGTTTTCACTTAGTTTTAACAGAAACTTTCGGAGTGGTTACTGAGTGAATCCTAGGTAGAACATGGGTTAAATATTCTCAAGTGACTAGTCTTATTTATTTTCAGGATACATGTGATAACCATTTCCTTTTCAGTATATACTAAATGTTGAAACCTGGTCCAGAAGAATAATCTTTGGATTTTGTGAAATATATTTTGTTAGCATTTATCAATATGGGTTTGAAATGCAGGCGCAGACACAGCGTGCCCCATGGCTTACTCGTTAGATGCATCACATAGTGGAACAGTAATTTTTGTAGGGTGACATTTCTGGTTGATGGTGACTCAATCACTGTGATATGAATATAAGATAGTTTCTTCCCATTTAGTTTCTTGTCTAGCCTCTTACGGTAACAGCAAAAAAAGGTAGTCATTCACTTATATTGTCAATTAGGAAATGTGCTGAGATACTAGTTGTTATCCACCCTGGTCTGTTTGTAGTTGAGTAAATCTCGATAGGCTTTAAACGCTCCACTGGCTTTCATCGACTTGTAGTTTCAGGCCTATTTGACTTGCCGTTGGCAGTATAATGCTTTACGTAGCAGTCCACACTATGTTTGCCAAACGTTGCTGTTAAGGTGAGTTTACTTCTGCTTCAGGTACTTCACTACTATTGCTCCTACAGAATGACTGGCGATTGATGAGCGACGTAAATTTTGAACGTAAGGTTTTAAGTAAGGAGATTAAGTCAGATAACGAAGTGAAAGTTCATCTGAAGAGGCAACCTGGTAATTTATGAATATCTGCCTGTCATCTATTGCAACCTGTTATATATTGGAGCGCAAGCAATTCAAGCCAATAATAAATTTAATCAAACAGACCTTTGACTTAAATAGTGTAGGGATATGTAGTTTTCCTGAATAGAATTCAGGAGATCACAGATAGTGATGTTCAGAGCTTACGTGACATGCGTGGATATTAAAGGGTGACGGCCACATTTGTTCTTCATTTCCATCCAAATCTTAATATTGTACATTTATTCTCTTGATACGTTTTATCCATCTCATGTTTTCTGATGTAATTATTTCGTTTTACTCTTAAGTATCCACGCCAGTTTTATGCCATGTGGCAACCTAAATATTTTGGCAGTAATTCCAAGCCATATTTCTTCTCTATGCGGGGCAAGAAAAGACTCACTGTAGATGCGGTCATAATAAACCATCATAAGTTGTCAAGGCAACTCATTTGAGGGTACGACTAGTCAGAAAAATGAAGCTGTGCACGTCGTATCGGTTAGCAATTTACCAGTGGTGTTGAAGATGTTTAATCTCTTCGAGCTGAACTCATAGAGGAAGCATGTGCAAATAACAACCGGAAATTAATCAAATATTCTTCTAAGTTTGGATGTTATCGTTTGCTTACTTAGCATCTATGGACTAGGATTAAAGACCATAGTCTACTGTATATATTACACAAAACACAGAAAACTTTCGTAGTTTCATCTTATAAGTTATTTGTAATCTGTAAAAGCTTCTATTAATATGATATTCATACATTCGAGATGCATTTCCATTAGCGTATTTAATGTTTTTCAGATATGTATAAAGACGGTGAATGTAAAGTCTTACTTCCTGAAAGCTATAATCTTAGTCATCTAACTTAAGATTTAGGGGGTATGAAGCGCTGTGGTGTTCTGCAAATGCAAAAGGTATCGGCAGTCTGGTTGTAATATTCTTCATTTTGTTAGAAACTTCGAAAATCCCGAGTAAATATCTGGTCGCGTTTATATCTTTGGCATTGAGAATGAATTCAGATATGTGATAATAGTGCATCATTTTAGATTGGACCGCAAGTTCGGTATCCAGAGGGTTTCAGAGAGATAATAAGTAGGGCATCGCTGGATTATCGAAAATAAACGACAAACTTTTGTCTTGCCAAGACGAATCGATATGTAAATTGCTGAAATGAGTTTATCATACTGTTGTTCCCTTTAATTTGTTTCACACTAACTGGCAACTGACAAAAGCAACGTACAACCTTGCATACAGATGCATCAGTGCAAGCTACCACGCCTCAAAATAGTACATGAGGTGGATAGAAAGTGTTATTAAAGAAGATAAAATCGTGTTCAGGAATGAAGAATCTAAATATAAAGATTAATGTGAATATTCAAGCTTTAGAAGACGTCTGGGAGTGAATATATCTGAGCCATGACGGGTTTTCAGCCATATCACCAAGAGTCCTCAACGACTGATTCCTGTCGTTTTGGGAACCGTAATCAAGCAGCCTACATCTCTCACACGACTCAGACCAAGAGACAGAAACTTCATTGACTGATGCCAAGTCTTGGTCCAGCCACTCTAAACTCTCTTCCAACCTAATCCAACTTCCCTTAGCATGACATGTAAAGGCATGTCGTGGCTTGGCATGTGCAGTACATGTCCAAGCCATCACAGTGTATGGTGATTCACAACCTCAATTATTATCTTGCCTATTACCCTTTGTCTGACCTCAACACTGCTCACTTAGTGATTCCGTCAAATGCAAAAAATGCTACGAAGAGACACTTATGATCAAAACCCTGTAATCGCTTCATGTCTTCTACTTTTAAAGACCATGTCTCACAGACGTATGATAAGGCAGAACGGACTGTAGCACAGTATACTCATCCTTCGAGAGGTAGACGGATATCTTGCCAGTCGGCGCCACAGATGATGTAAGTCAGCAAATGCAAAATGAGCCTTCTGTATCCGAGCTGAGAATTCGTGGGGAACCAGTCTGTTCGGGCTGATGCAACTCTTCAAGTAAGTGAAGTGGTCAACACATTCCATCACTTCATTGTCTGTCGTTTAACTGGGATTGCTTGTTCATACTAAGTTTTGAAGTCAGGAGATGTTAGGGATAAATAATTTGAGTGAGATGTGGTGGATTTTTCATGACTTCAACTGTAAGTTACTACTACCACATCTGTCTTTGTCTTAAGTTATATGTCTTCTGGTGGTTGGACAGTTGAACTCGATCCCACCTTTCAATTATTATCTCTTACGCTTCCTGAAAGTTCTACATCCGCTTATACGGCATATCGCACACCTGCTTAGTTTTCTTTGATTGAAATGAACCTTTCGCTCTTCGAGTTTCCCTGTTTCAGGTATGCAAGACTAAAATGCTTCGCCGCGTTATTTTAGTATTTTTCACCTGTCTAAGCCATTATTTTATTATGTAAAACAGGGTCATTTTTATTTTTTGTAGTCAGGTAGCACAATGGTGTGATAGTTGTTCAGGTAAGGGAAACATTTAAACAAAATATAACGTGAAAACTGCATATGAACTTAATCATGTAGGTGCGAGCCACACATTTGGCTCAAATGCCTAGCATTTTACCTGAACTCATTACCCAATGATTGAAACCTGACGATCTAATCCTTTCACGTGGTATTGAGTCATTTTTAAGTAGGGCCTGACTCCAACTAGCTGTTCAATTTACTCACTTAACAACAAAGAAACTGCGACAGGTTCTGAAACACAGGCATATTTCCCGGTGGCCGACACTTGCTATATTTCTTGACCTGAAGGCGGCTTTCGACTCTGTCGACCGTGAGATGTTATGGCAGTATCTGACTGTTAAGAGAGTACCGAGCAAGTATATAGTGCTTATCAAAGGTTTCTTCTCGAACTCACACAGTTGTTTGAGAGCCGATGGGAAGTTTTTATGTGAGTTGACGAAAAGCAGTGGTGTCAACAGTGGATGCCCACGGTCACCCTTCCTATTCAATTTCGTCATAGACGAACTAATGTACATAACCTTAGGTACACAGCAATTGATCTACTCTCTAAAAGTCATCTGGCTGACTTGGATTATGCAAACAATATTGTCCAGCTAAGTGATGACGCTGACGAAATGCAGGGTGTTCTGAACGCGTTGAGGAGAATCCTGCGTATGTTTGGCTTGAGTGCCACTGGCACTTGTCAGACGCAAGATGGTGCTCAGTATAGGAAGTAAATTGGTGGGATGTGTTGACCACTTCACTTACTTGAAGAGTTGCATCAGCCCGAACAGACTGGTTCCCCACGAATTCTCAGCTCGGATACAGAAGGCTCATTTTGCATTTGCTGACTTACATCATCTGTGGCGCCGACTGGCAAGATATCCGTCTACCTCTCGAAGGATGAGTATACTGTGCTACAGTCCGTTCTGCCTTATCATACGTCTGTGAGACATGGTCTTTAAAAGTAGAAGACATGAAGCGATTACAGGGTTTTGATCATAAGTGTCTCTTCGTAGCATTTTTCGCGTTTCGTGGAATCGTCATCAATGTCCAGGCATTGCTACGTAACGGTCCAAGTTGTCACACCTCATATTGGCACATCAAGTGACAAGGCAATTGAATGAAAAATGAAGAAAGAAAGAAAAATCGGTCAAGCGGCGCAGAAATTATTATAAGAGAGGAGGGAGGATCGCGAAAATGATATAGTGAAGTGTAGCGATTAGGATGAGGATAATGGGTGTATACACCTGCGCCACTGACACCGGTTCTGAGACATATCACGGAGTCTCAAACCACTGGTTCATCTTGTTCCGCGGACCCCAACCGTCTGGTCTGCATCGACGCACATGGCTCAAACCAACAGACAAGTACTTCACGGATTGTTACCATTTTAGTCTGGCCGCTCCGATCCTTTTTCTAGCCTGAACCTACTTCGGCCAACATTGTGAGATGAAGCGAACAGTGGGTAGGCATACGTAGCACATGTCCAAGCCATCTCAGTCGATGATGGTTCACAACCTCATCAACTGGATTACCTCTCCCCCTTGAAACTCTGCGTCTGACTTCTGCGTTACTTACGTGGTGACACCATGCAACATGGCTTGTGCTACTAAGGTAGCGGTGTTCGAGCAACTTAAGCCATCTCATGTCTTCTACACTTAATGGCTATGTTTCACAGCCATATAGTATAGCAGAGTGGACTGCAGCACAGTACACTCGACCCTTAATAGGCAATCTGATATCGCAGCGGTGCCGCAGGTGGCGTAAGTTGGCGAAGGCCAACCAAGCTTTTCGTTTCCGTGCAGAGGTTTTATCAGCCATTAAGCCACTGGGGCTGATCCAAGTTCCCAAGTAAAAAGATTGTTCAACGTACTCAATCGCTTAAGTCTCTATTGTTAACCAGGACGCCATTGAAGACCAGTCATGGAGCAGCAATTAGCATTTGAGTGGTGAGAAACGCATCCCAAACATTCTCAAATCGTCACTGAAGATGCCCAGAAGACTGCGTCTTTATTTAACAAGACTATGTCATCTACGTATCCTAGGTCTACCAAAAGTTCTCCTAACATTGGTTCAATCCCTTTGTAGTCAGATGACCCTAGGGAAACCTCCATTAGAACGTCTATGTTAAAGTTGAATAAGAATGGGGAAAGTGGACATCCTTGACGGACACCACTTGACGCACACAGCTCACCTGACGTCTCACCACAGGATCTAACACGTCCACAGGTGTTCGAGTAAAGAGCCTTCAATAAGGTGATGTACTTGCTTGGTATCCCTTTCAGTGAAAGACATTACCATAAAACCTCCCGGTTAATAGGGTCAAATGCCATCTTCAGGTAGAGAAATACAGCTATTGTAGGATGTCGGTAAGTGTACCTGTGTTCCAGAACCTGACGGAGTGTGAATATTTGGTCGTTACACCCACGACCGGGTCTGAAGCCTGCCTGGTTTTTCAGGCTTAGTGTCCCAGGGCTCCACTCGGGCATCTAATGACTAGAACCTAGAATCTTAGATGCCATATTCGTCAGGCTGATTCCTCTATGGTTATCACCAGAGGACTTCTCGCATTTCTTGAAGACCGGAATAATCACTGATTAAGGCCAGTCAGAGGGTATGATATTTGGCTCTCATACGCTAGTTAATACTTCAGTTAACTTGACTAGAAACACTCCACCACCGTCTTTATATACTTCAGGAACTAGTCCATCTGACCCAACTTCCCTTCATCGCCTCAGCTCTTTTGATTTCTGCAAGTATTTGGGGCGTGGGGCCGCGGCGATCTCAATGTTCCATTCAGGATTCGACTGGATAGAAGGCAATGCGATGGTATTTGGAGGCCAATTGAACTGTTCCTCGAAGTGTTCTGCCCATCGTTCCAGTTGTCTATCCTACGAGCGAATCTCAGAGCCATCCTTCTCCGCTATAGTCTCACTAACCGTTGACCTTTTCACCTTAGTTTCCTTAATAAGTCTAAGTAGTTATCTACTTTAACCTATTCCTACTACCTTTCCCATGTCTTTAGCCTTCGCTGCCCACCGCTGTTTGCGGTCATTGCGTAGACTTTTTGTCAGTCTACATTTGAGTTGCTCTCGTTTCTCATTGTACTCAGAGCCTGCAGAGATGCGTTCGCGTGCGTCCATTAGTTCAGAAGAAGTTGCTGATATCTACTGGCTGTTTTTAACCACTCTGAGAGTTGGCTACAGTCTTCAATGCTGTTTTTACAGCAGAGTAGAGATGGCACCACTCTTCTTCTAGATGAGTGATAATCTTTTGTTCCGATAACTGCCTTAGTGTACTCGTTGTCGAGCTTCACTCATAGTGACCATGTCTCTAAAGGTTTCTTACGTCCATTGAGACGCAGGCTTATACGTGCGTAGTCGCTATCTAAAGATGTGCTCCAGAAGGAGCGGCCGTCTCCCACCTACCCTCTCCAGCGAGGAATGATAGCAATGTGGTCGATTTGTCTCCATCGCTGAGCTGAGGTGGGTGGATGCCACTTGAGATAATGTCTTTCTTTATGCCTGAAATTTGTGCTAGCTAGAAGTGGTAATGTGAGCACGGTTGGGTCACCATTCCGAAAGTGCCATCTAAGTGCCTTTCTGCCTGACAGCCTAACCACTTGTGCATCGAAATCGCCTGCAACAACAACAACAACCATATCTAAACGTTTGGCTTTCAGAAGGAGGCTGGGTAGACAGTTTCCGGTTTAGCTCATTCTTCGCTTCATCAAGAACTGCACTCATTGGGTGCGTATGTAGAGATTACAAAGAGACAACGGCGACGTTCATTATTCATTTTAGTTCTCACTGGTATTCAGCCGAACAGCGCATAGGTGACTGTCAACTGGGATCTGATGCAGTAGTAAGCTTCCTACCCTAGTGCTTTTGCTATGCCTACACCTGCAAGGCTGCAAGAACTAGACATCGAGCCCCCTAAAAACTTGACTGGTGAATTTCGCGGATTCACTATACTGGCTATGAGATGTTAAGTGAATAACTACACTTGGGTCCTGTATGAGTGTTTCAAAAACACAGCACACATCCATGGTCTCAGTTACTATGATCAATGAAGCTTGTTGACCAATTTGACGGAGAGTACGAATATTGAAAGCTCGAAAATGTAATTTGTAGCGTGATTTCAGGAGACAAATAATGCTGTTCTGGGGATTCAAATCTTTATTGAAAGCTGTAGAGTTAGAAGAAATTCAAGATGATCTAGAATTGGTAGTACCAACAATAAAAGCCAAAAAATAAGGTGAAAATACTATACAAATCAAATATTGAAAGTAGAGTGAATACATTGATATGATTATGAGCAATAATTTATACTGGAAACATCATCAAGTAAATAATACTGTATCTAATACGAAATTACATTCTTTCATAGTGCCAAAGTTTTACATTTATATTTAATGAGATGTAGACTGTTTGATTTAGGTCACTGAGACGAAAAAAGAGTCAATAGTTGGAGATTATTGGTGACATGACTGAAAATCAGTCACAATAACACAGATACATTCTACTCCTTCACGTTCTCTAAAGCTTGAATATTTGCATTCATCTTTATTTTCATATTGTTTATTCTCTCATACAACTTTATATACTCTGATAATATTCTTTTTCTATCCAGTTGTTGTTAGTATAATACTATAAAGTATGGTAAACTTGAGTCGATGCATTTATCTGCAAGGTTCTACGTTGATTTTTTAAAAATCTATCTACCTGTTATATATTCTATCTAATTGAATGCTTGAAGATGGGAAATTAATATTATCTTTTTGAGTGAAATAACTGAGTAATATCGAACATTGAATACTTTATATTTACCTTATATTTTAAAGTTATCAGTTCAAATGTACAGTTAAAGATTAAGTAGTATATTTCTAATCTATTACCTAAATAATCTTATAATAATTTAGTTGGAGCTAGCAGAATAATCTAGAATGTCAACCAAATCTAGGCAATATTAAAGCATCCATTATAGGAGTCAATATGCTATTAAACATTGAACAATTCAATTCAATAAAACAACGAAGAAATCACACGTATATTAATAAATAATAATAATAATAATAATTTGATTTTGAAAAATGTAATTATATTTTGTTTCTATGCACTTTTAAAACATATTTTTATGAAATATTATTTTTCATAATTATAGCAAATGAATTCATGCAATTGAACAGTTAGTAGAGAGATGGTACATTCAAAAATCAAGTAAGTTTACTACCTACCTCTGTATAATGTTATACTTTAAATGAATATATTTTACTCGAAGATCTTAATGTATATATATATATGTATATATTTTATTATTTTCAGTAGCTTGGGTATACCCATCATATTTCCCGTTATATCTTTTACATGCCGGCCGATACGTTTATTCTCCTTGTCAATATTTCTCATATTATTACTTGGAATGTTATTATTCAGCAGATTTTGGAAATCATCTATATTCCCTTCATACACTGATTCCAATGTTTTTTGGCAATGGAAAGAAATGGATTTTCCTTCACCAGTATGTTTTAATTAAATAAATTATTTCATTATATGATTATTAGAAATTTAATGATAATTCAGTGCAATATCTAATTTGTTTTATTAATACATTGTTAGGGTAGGGAAAACATGAAGAAAGACTATGAGGATTATTTATTTGTAAGCAACTTTTCACCTTTTCTATTTAGTTATGATGAACATTTGTACACTGGATTAATGTAGTTTCAAATCATTTTCACACCTTTTAACCTCATTTATATTGAACAAACGAAATAGAAATGCTGACTAAGGACAATAGTGAACGCATCTTTATGTACTGATCAAAATAGTTTTAACCCCTTCAATTTATCAATATCTGTCAGTCAATACTTTTTATTAGGTTAGCATCAGATGAATACAATTCACTTTCTTGTGACTAGTAAAAGAATCCAAGACGTGCGTTTCGTCCTGTTTGGGACTCGTCATCTGGGCGTAACTGCATCCCAGTGAGTGATATTGTTCTCACTGAGACTCGAACCTCGTACCCATCGCTTCAAATGACAAAGCGTTATCCACTATGCCAAATAAGCATGACAGCTACCTCTTGTACAACAGAATCAATTATAATCATAAGTATTCAGGCAATATCAAGCCATTCGCTTAGGAGCTCATATGCCAACAGAGGCTGAACAATTTGATTCGTTATAACTACTTAGAATTACCAGTATATCAAAAACAGTAGAAGAACGGGAGTTACTTGAAGAATATATACATGTTTGACAATGGGAATAAGTAAATGTAATTTGAAATTTAGAGTTGAAGGATTCATGATAAAGTGAGTAAACAGTATACAAGAAAATGAAAGATTAGTGAGTGAACTAAGTATCGTTATGCAATAGCAATATGCAATATTTATACCAGGTGATGAACGAAGGTGAAATAAAAATTTGGACTGGGGCTGGATTCGAACCAGCAACCACTAGGTTCCCAACCCGATGCTCTACCAACTGAGCTGTGACTCCTGATCAGATTTTTATTTCACTTCAATCACCAACGCTTTTACCCGAGTACCATGTGAATTCGCGATGCGTTACTACCGCTTGATCGTACTCACACTGGCTGCCTAGTTAGGACATCTCATCCCAATCCAAATCCAACTGAATTAGAGAGGGGGAGCATCATATTACGAAATCAAAAAAGAAGGTTAGTTTGACTGATGATTTAGAATGTTTAGAGATTTATAAGTGAATAAAAGACACTAAATAGTAAAGCGGCTTTTAAACAAACGGATCTATTATCAATTTATGTTCTGCCTGCAGTACAAGGTAAACGCTTTCTGACATCCTTCAAAAGATTAGACTGCATTTTGTAAACTATTGTAAATAAATTTTCTGAAGCTGCGTCCGGTGTTAACCCACTTTTGTAATGTGGAGCTACTTGTCTATCTAGCTAAAACGGAAGCCGACGAATCGGATTTTACTCCGTAATTGAGTAGTTAAATGTTGAAGGCTGAAACTACTGAGCAAATAGACAAGCTAATATCAATGACGTTAAAACTTGGCATACTTGAGTATCTGGACAAATTTGTGATACTTTAAATGACCACTTTGGTTGATAAGAAGAATTGACAATGGGAAAAAAGAACAGATTAAAGTTAATGAAGTTACTGGTCGTTAAAAGCCGCTGAAATGTGTCATTGAACTTCTGTTAACTCATGAGAAAATAGATTAAGTAATATGTACATAGCAATAATAATCACTTTATTTCAAAGAGGTATGGTTTATATAGCATAGAATTCTTATTTCATTACCGGAACAATATATTAGGATGAAATGATTACTGCACCCAAGTGATATCAATAATAGCACTATTAAAGGCAATAATGTTAAAGTCAGCTGGTATTGGAATAACTTTCGGTTTGAAGTGGAGGATTTACAAAATATTTGCTATTCGAACTAAGCGTTCAAAGAGTGAAAATAAAATGAAATTTTACACAACGGAAAGTCCATTTGAAACAATGGAGAATATTTGTAGCTCAGGTGGATGATCTTGGTTGTATTGTGTTCTCTCAGCCAAGTGTTTAATCCTGAAGCTTTCATCGTTTTTCTGGACGACATCATCAGCACTAACTTCAGTATGAAGTGTGCTGTCATTATCTCTTCGTGAGTGATTTAGTAGCCTGCTTTGACGAAGTGGTCTGTGATTGGTTGTTTCCTTTGATTGTTGTGTCATTGACTGTATAAACTTTCCTGTTGGTTGTTCGTCTGCTTCACCTCTCACCTTTCTATCTTTTATCATTTTTCTTATTGTTTGATAGATTGTGTCTATGTGTATACATCTGTTGAATGCTGGCTGACTGACCTGATTGCCAAGCTTCTAGGAACTCTCTGATATTCTTTGTATTTCCTCTCTCCTTCCAAAATTTCTATATTTTTGAAATTGAATTCATGTTCATAGTTGTTATCCACTTGTATTGAAATGAGTGACGAAATGTCGTAGCGTTTAATAGCCAATTAGTGCTCATATAGGCGAAGGTGGGCGACCACTTTGTCCAATATAGTGTTGACTACAGTTATTGCAGTTGATTTTGTAAATGATATTCAATTTGTCTTCTCTGGTTGTTGCATCCTTTGGTTTGCATAATAGTGTTTGGAGGGAATTTGTTGGTTTATGAGCCACACCAATTCCAAGTGGGCTAAGTAATCTAGTCGTGATTTCTGATATATTCTTTATGTGTGGTAGGATGATGCGTTTATTGATTTCTGTCGATGACTTTATAGTTGATGATGCACAGGATAGGCATCTTCTGGTAGTGTTGTGGGTAGTCGTTCTTCTTTAGGATGGACATCAAGTAATTTCCTTCTTTCCTCTGTGAAGTTGTTGTACTCAAGTGTGTTCTCGCTCTTTTGAATAGAGTCTCCACACAACTGATTTTGTGTGTCAGTGGGTTGTTGCTATTGTAGTTAAGGATTTGGTCAGTGTGTGTTGGCTTCCTGTACACTTGGGTTTCCAGCTTTCCGACATTTGTCCTACTGACTAAAACATACAGGGATGGTAGTTGGTTGGTTGGTTCTAGCAGGCTACCTCACGCCAATTAACTACTCGTTTTTTCCCACCGACATGCGTAGATGCAACCGAGTTTCATGCTGGATAACTGAGTACATAGGAATTCACGTAGTTTTGGAAGGAGCTATTCACTTATAGACCGTTTTCAGACTTATATTTTGCATGTTGAGAAAATGACTTGATCCTGTGCAAGCGGTACTCTGAAAGTAATGGTGATTAAGGATTTGCGGCCTTCTTTAATCTCCTAACTTTTACGACAGTGTAGAGTACGTTTCTAGTCGACATATTCTCTCCATAATAAGTATTCAGATATCTTGTAGACATCAAAAGAAAGTCTTTTTTTCTTGATACAGATCAGTCCTCGTGAAATCAGTAGATTAATGTTAAGCCCCCTATCAGTGCTTTTACCATGAAGTTAAGTTGGGCTGTGACTGGATATAAACCACGGACTACAGGGCTTCCGACCTAATGCTCTACTAACTGAGCTAAGAGGTGCAAATTTAGACCACGGCCGGATCGGGTTGGAAACCCGTTGGTCATTGGTTGAAATTCGGCCGCGGTCCACATTTTCATTTCAACTTCAATAGTCACCCAGTAACAATACTAGTCTGTCAAATCACGGCTATCTCGGATAGTAAAAATGATAATAACTTAATAAAAGTGAAAAACTTGGGCACTGTGGTAGAATGTAATTCCATATTAGGTTTGTTTATTTGATATAAAGCGCACAGTGATACGGTATTATTTACTTCATTACGTTTCGAGCATAAATTATTACTGCTCATAATCATATCAGTGTAATCACACTTCTTTCGATATCTGATTTTATAGTCCTGTCACCTGATCTCTCTTTGTTTTTTTGTTTTTTGATTGGCAGTAAAGTTTTCCATATCTCTGGTATAGGTGTTGCGTCATTCCTATTACATATGTTGGGTGTGGATTCGATGAACAAAGATTCAGTAATTAATCTCTCTCTCCACCTAGCTATATTAGACTTAAGTACAGTGGTTTTGTCCCACCCAGCCTATTGTGTGGTTGTGTGTTAATGAATGTAATGCAATGGCCGAGTGTTTTTCTAGATTATTGATCTTATTGGGGTCTGCCGTTCTATGTTTAGCTAAATTCCTATGTTCTGTTAATCTAACTGACCCGACCGGCTAGTTTGACCTATGTATTTGACTTCACAGTCATTACATGGAATTTGGTAGATTATATTATTTTGCTTAATTGGCTCTATCGGATCTTAATTTAGAAGTAGTATTCATCATGGACTGATAACAGTTGGGGAACCATTGAAAATCTGGGAGCACTGGACAGCTGTTTCATCCTAGTATGGGACGTAATTATCATTTTGACAATCGGAGTGAGATAGCCTTCGTTTGACAGACTAATATTAATACTGAGTGATAATCGAAAAGTAATTAAAAGTTTGAAGTAAAGCAAAAAGAACATTGTCATCAGAATTAGCATGTGTATACGTTTTGTGGATTATCATCAGCTGCTTTCCAGCCTATGAAATATAATATTTATGATGAATAATATACATGTAGTTTACATGTTATCATAGTTTATTAATAAATCGACAAAAATTGAGACGTATGTTAACAAAGATTTAGGTTGATCGACATTCATGAAGTTTTTCAGACTACTCAAAGTTCAACTATTTATACAATGATAGAATAAACATCTAAGAGATGATATATATATATATATATATATATATATATATATATATATATATATATAATGTTCTAGAATTAGTAAAAGGTGACGTCATGGCTAAGTAAACGTGATTAAAGGTCAACTAGTTTACATTATACTAAAAAATACAATGAATACAACTCAGAAAGTGAGAGTGAGTTTTGAATTAGATCGAAAAAATTCGAAGGGTCATTAGGTCATGAAATCTTGTAATTATGAACTTAGCAGAATAAAATTGTCAAGATAGTACAAGACTGACAACAGTATTTTTCTGAATATATATTGATGTCCCCAAATGGTCTTCTTAGTGTATTCCCAATCCATCTCCACTTTCTTCTGCATATTTGTTGGGCGCATAGGTTGTTGGTTGGTTCGTTGCCAGCCAGCCAGAGTACCTCCTTGCTTATTCTTTCTGGCCATCTGACCTTCAGTATTGAGCGAGCGTGGGCGGCAGCTGCTGATGAATGTTTTTAGTTTGTTGGGAATGCTTTTCGTAACGCGCCAAATCTCTCAACCACCACATAGAAGCACTGATTTGTCTGAATTAGTGTTGGAAACCCGGATCTTGTTCTTTATGTTGAGTGCAGTGCAGTGCAGTAGATCTCCACACTGATTTCAGATTAATGCAGGAAGTCCTTTCTTGTTGTCTTTCGGATCCTGGCTTTGACATCCTCATCTGTGCCGCCGCTGCCTGTAGTTGAAACATGCTGCCTGGGTAGGTAGGTAGGTGAAAGAGACAACTTGATTTAGATTTCTCCCGATCATGGTGATTGGTGCTTGTTGTTGTTATTGACTGGGTATCTTCATCACCTCTGTCTTCTCTACATCCACCTGAAGTCTTGTCTTCGCTACTCTGCCTCTTCCGCCAACTTTTTAGTTTTTGCCTGTAGATCTTCGAGTTTGTGCGACATAAGAGATTGGACATAAATCGTCATCGTTAGCGAAATCCAAATCTGCTAGGCTCTTTTCACCAATCAAACAGCGTATACCCCTCTTTTCGCTCCTCACAATTTGTTGCATGATCCAGTCGATTCGATTACAATCAGGAAGATGATCGGTGATAGTAGGCGGCAACCTTGTCTTACCTGTCAACTTTTCTTCACTTCAAAGGCGTCACTGAGCTTTCCGTCGTGAGTCACTGGGCATGTAGCGTTGCCATATAGCTGTTGAATAAAGTTGATATAGGTTAGTGGCACTAAAACCGTAGTGTTGAAGCAGTTGCCAAATCACTTCTCGGTCAACGCTGTCGAAGGCTTTTTTAAAGTCGATGAAGTTGAGGTGGAGCGTTGTCTCACATTCTATCCTCTGTTCTATGATGATGCATAACGCAGCGTTGCGATTTGATCCGCACATGATTTGTATTTCCTGAAGCCAGCCAGCCAACCAGCCTGTTCGGTCGTAATTTTGAATCCAGAGCATTTTTTAGTCTTTTCAGGATGATGTGGCTTAATATTTTGCTTGGTGTAGACAAGAGGAAGATTCCGCGCCAGTTCTTGTTGTTGCATAGACTTAGGTCGCCCTTCTTTGGAAGTTTGACACTGTAGCCCTTCTTCCAATCGACAGGTACCTTTCCTTTCTTTATTCCTAACCGTTTGCAGTAGTGGTGTGAGCATGTCTGCTGTTGTCTCTGAGTCTGTTTTTCAGTGCTTCTGGAGGAATTCCATCTGGTCCTATTGCTTTCTTGGAATTCAGCAACTTAACGGCGTTCACGACTTGACCTCCGCTTTTTTCGTAAGATGTGTGTTAACTGCTAGTCCTGTGACTGGGCTGCTGGTGGTATTTCTGGACGAGTTGCAGGTTGTGGTGGTGGTTTTGAAGAGTTTTTTGAAGTGATCAGCCCATCATTTCCTTTGCTTCTCCTCTTTGGCAACTAGGTTTCCCTCACTATCTTTTATTGATTTCATCTGTATTGATCTCTTCCCGGATATTCTGAAGTGAATAATCTCACTTCGGCAATGTGCGTATGTCTACTTAACAGCACAAACACATGCTCTACATAGTTTTCACTAGTGATAGTTTTGTTACTTGTTTATCGTGATATAGGAGTACTGAATGCATAAATTTTCAGTGTTTGAAAAAAATTTCAGAAGATATGATGTTTTTAGCCGGGTGACATTCAATAGATGGTGTAGACCGTAGAGCTGGTAGAAATTGATACCAGTATAGAATTAGTAGCAGGGAGAGATGAGAGAAAGGCTATCGATTATAGAAGAAGATCCCAGTGGTATTGGATGTGTACTAGCGGTTTACATGTTACTTAACTTCTAAAAGAGATTTGATATGGATATTGTATCTCATCGGCTCACTTGACTTTCTAACATCATCCTGGGATAAGATACTGTTCCGAATACCTCGAATTATGCAGTCGAGTAGTGTTGTAAGTTATCACTTACCCAAGCCTAGCACATCATTTATACCGAGTCATTGAGTTGACTGAAAAGGATTTGGATCATTGTTTGAGATCTAATCTACGTGGACACTTAACTGCCGAATCAAAACAACGTCTGCCTAAGTTTTGCCACAGATTCCTTTTAAAGATGTTTGATGTAGATTTTAATGGGTGTAATTTATGCTTTTGATAAACTTACTACCACAGGTGGTTGTGCTCAGAAAATGTGGGCTTATATCCTTTGTAGGTAAAAATCTGATCTCTCCTGTTATTTACGGGATATTGATGATATATTGCTGCGCAGTTAGCAGTACAACATTGTTTCTGAATCTGAAATTAACTGCTTTTGCCCTTACCATCTTGTCTTGGTGTAGTTGGTTATCAAAGAACAAGTGTTTCAGTCGACTAAGATAGCAACTTCACATCGTGGCATTTAGTTGTGAAATCAATAACCACTATCTATATTTACCTGAGGAAATATGGGCCTATTTTCCTGAATTGTAGTTAACAATTGAAAATCTGATTTGTCTTTAAACAGTACTGAAGACAAGTTTTACTATTGATTTTAAAGTGTTTCGCACCTGGTGACACTGGACATATATTGAGGTGGGTGGGTGCCTGATAATTAGTGAATAATTATGCGACTCTTGTATGTACAGTGTATGACATTGTCGAGAAAATAATGCTGTTGTTGGTTTACATGAAATATGACAGTGTAGATCGTGTAATAGAGAGAAAACTCCACAATCTAGTGGATTCACCTTGCTGTTACTGATTATTGTATAGTAATGATTTTGTTCTTCAAGAAAAAAAATGTGATTTCGATACATAAGAAACCGTAATTAGAACCTAGGTTACCTGACAAGTAATTAGAACTCCGTACTTACACGTAACCTTAGTAACTACCAGTAGTATTTCCTATTAGTTGAGTGGATACTTAAGTATCTAAGAGGAAATTCTAGTGAGTGTGTTACTGCAACTCATTGTTGTCCAAAAAAACTACGGATGAGCTCAGTTCACTTACATAAAAACAAGTTCTTTAAAATCTCAGTTCTGGGGGTTTGTAAAAATTTATTGATTCCAGATTGGTATTGATCACGGACTGACATTAGTTAGGGGAACCATTAAAAACCTGGAAGCATTGGACATCTTTTCTGTCTTCCCACTGAACTTTTCACCAGTTCTCATCCATGACCCCATCAGGAGTCGACTACATTTTCGCCGTAAATTCTTGTAATTAGATACTTGATAGTTACATTCAGGTCCCTAACGGATAGGTAACAGTTCAAGTTGTTATTCTTCGTAGACTGACATCAATTGGAGGAACCAAGGAAACCTGGGAGCACTGGACAGCTGTTTCGTTTTAGTGTACGACTCCTCAACAGTGCGCACCCACGACCCTGCCAGGGATCGAATCCGCGACCTTCACGTTCCATGGCCAGCACGTCACCATTGAGCCACTGGGTCGGAATCCAGTTGTCCATATTTCCAACTTCTGTCAGTTCATGACATAGCGCAACCGCCACCCAATGTCATTGTTGAGTAACTGTCCTCACGATCATCAGGCTTTTCCCCCACCGGCTACGACTTCTCATTGGAACTTGGGGAATACCTCTCAAAGCTAGTCACCAATGAACACCAGTTCAATTGAATTTCGAGGGAGTTGTGGGGATTCGGAAATATTTTAAGTGACAGGTGACAGGTTAATTATTAATCTGAGAAAAAATCTTGGACACTATAGTAGAGTATAATTTCACCTAAGATTACTTGTTATAGCACACTGTGATACAACGTTATTTACTAGAAGACTTTTCTAGCACACTGTATTACTGCTAATCATATCAAGGTAATTATTGTTTTTAAACAGTTCAACAGCTCCTTGTTTCGTTTATCTTCAGTGGCAGTAGGATTTTTCGAATATCTACGGTGTGTGATGAATTGTTCTTGTTGCCTGTATTAGGTAATGATTCGATGAACAAAGATTCAGCAATCAGCCTTTCTTTCACTCTACCTACCTATACTGGATTACTGGTATGTAGTTATGAGCAATAAATTGTACTTCAAACTTCATTGAGTAAATATTACTGTATCAGTGTATGCTATATCAAATAAACAAATCTAACATGGAATAAAAAATTGACTGTTGAGTGTTTCATGATAGTGCGGACACAAGTGATAAAGGACGTAATTCTCTTTCTTGCTCAAGTAAATGAACAGTTTAGTGACTACTTGCAGGTACCAACGTTTTGTACTAAGCAACTTGGAGCAGATTGTGAATTTATGGTCTACAAACCCTGGATCACCTGTGAAGCTGGGGAGACATCTGACTATCTATCTAACAATGAGTATGCTGCACTGCAATTTGTTCTTTCCTGTGAGACATGACCAGTAAAATCAGAGGGTGTGAAGCGACTACAGAGTTTTGATCGTAGATGTCTTCGTGGCATTGGTGACGGCTGATGGAATCATCGTGTGAGCAATGTTGAGGTTCGGCGAAGTGTACTAGGCAAGACAGGCAAGTCGATTAATAGGGTTGTGAACTGTAGTCGATTGAGATAGCTTGTAAATGCACTGCGCATCCCGATCCACCGCCTACCTCGATGTACCATGCTACGGGATGTTTGATTAGATGGGAAGAGGGTTCAGGGTGAATAGACCAAGATATGCGACTAGTCCATGAAGTCTCTTACTGTTGGTCTCAGTCATATGAGACGTTGTAAGCCATCTGATTGGGGTCTCCGAAACGAAAGGGGCGAGAGGTTGAAGATTCTTAGTGATATGGCTGAAAATTGGTCACAGTGGCAGATGTATTCACTTCTTGACATCTAATGGTTAAATATTTGCTCTGGCTTTTATCTTCAGATTTTTTATTCTTTCACACAACTTTGTCTACTTTGATATTACTTTTTTTCTATCCATCTGTTCTTTGTATACTTACTTGAAGTGTGTCAACTTGAGCTGATGAACCTGTGTGTGAGGTTCTACGCTGATTTTGTCAGTCATGGTTTCCTAGTTACAAGTTAACTATTTAAATCACTAACCAACTGCTTCAATTACTTATCTTTACTGAAAATTGTATTCTGTTGGTTTGTATGAAATTTGTGATTAGCTCAAAGTTGGTTTGCATACTTTACACTTTAGAGTTTAGGACAAGATCAACTTTAACACACTTGACTATTGTTTCTTCATACCGCATACATAATCACTTGTGAGACTTTATTTGCATATAAGTAAAAAGTCCATTCGTGTATATTAGCCTGGGATTGTGAATATGAATCTTTAAGAAGCAGAAAATGCTCCTTTCTCTCATTCTCTCTGTCTCCCTTTGTGTCTTAAATTCTTCATGTAAATGAGAATAAGACATATAAGCGAACTATACTGTTTTCAATTACATCCTCTTCATGCTTCACTCTAATATAAAAATAGCTAAATTTATATAAAATTGAACCAGTCATGTAAATTTGTCGGTTACTGTGGTGATTTAAAAATAATAATAATGGTGATAATGATACAAATAATAAAAGGACATATGGATAAAGCAAAGGCAAACAAACCTGAAACGAAATCATTCTTCATGAAATTGCAATTTAGTGGAGATGTAACCAGAAACGTTTTATATCACATACTCTCTATAGCCATTAGGACTTTATACGCTAGACAACTCTGTCTATCATTTTCCAGCCGACCACTCATTGTTAATTGCTCCTATGGAGTAAGGACATTTTACTAGACAACATAGCAGATGTGTTACTGACCATTTACCCTCGTTGTTGGGAAAGGGACAGATAAGATCCATAGGAATCTCTGTCTCATCTCATCTCGTTGCTATTGGTCCATTGGTAGATGAGGACAATGCTTTCAAGATTATTCCCCGTAAACCACCTAATCGAACACGTCTTTTACACATAGCAGAAGCTGTGTGGATTTCAGCTACCAATCTCAGTATTTGTATCCAGAAAAAATAGGTACACCCCTTATCTCTCTTTCTCTCTCTCCTGGCAAAGGAATGCTTAATGAACAATTCAATCATCGAAAATTTTCCTTTTCTTATTCTTCACCTTTTTCACTTACTTACTATAATATTCTTCTAGACTTTGTTTATCCACTCACTTCGTCCTTTACTATGACGCAACTTTTATTTTCCCTCACTTTCGACTCACGTCAATAATCGGAGTATCGACACTCTCATGATGCTTTCTTGGTTCTTATCATCATTATCATCGATATTGCAAGTTCATTAGTCAACGTTATCATTTATATTTTATAATTTGTATTATTATCACCATTTATAGTAATGATGAACAGTGGCTAGCAGTGGAACCCAGGATGCGCATTTCGTCCTATTTAGGACTCGTCAGCTGAATGTACCTGCCTCTCAGTGAGTGATGTTGTTCCCACCGGGACTTGGACTCGGAACTGATGATCACCATTGTTATTTTAAAACGATTATCAGAATAACTGACAAATCTACATGAATGGTTTAATTTTGTACATATTCAACTATTTTGATGTTCGAGTGAAGCCTGAAGAAGATGTGATTAAAAACAGTATGGTTCGCTTATAAGTTTTGTCCAAATATTGAGTGACCTATCATGGAAATGAAAGAAATGTAGTTTCTACTATTTTAAACATTGTATGTCGAAAAGTTAAGGAAATCAAACTCATGGAATAGTTTGTGCTACTCCGATAACTGGTACTATGCTCGGATAATTTTATTCATGTTATTTGAAACGTTTTGTCATGCATGGTGATATTTTTATTGCCAGTGATTGTGCTATGCTTCCTGTTATGAAGATTAGTATCGGATCGTTTTGGCCGTTTCTATGTAAAACTTTCGAGTCCCATTTATGTATCTATACAACTTTATGTAATTTGACTCCATTTATCTTGTTATTTCGATAATGTGTTTTATAGAATCCTTTATGGTTACAGTCAATCCGTGTTCAGTATCCTAAGAACCTAACACATTTGTTGTACAAATCACTAGAAGTTTCACACCCACTCTCCCACTTAGAGCCTATCAGTGCTATTTCGAACCTACGACAATATGTTTCACTGCTTAACTCAATCCAGTATGTTCGTAATGCAGATATATATGGTCAGCTTCCAACAAGAGACAATTTCAATGTTGTAACATCCGCTCCCGAACATGTAATAGTAATACAGGTTAGTTGATATTTATTTATCGCGTTTCACTTACTGTGGTTTTGTATGTGACAGAAGTGTAACTGTGTTACACTTTTGTGTTAGCATTCATCCATTAGAGACATGATTTGCTTCTTATCGTGAACAACGTTAAGCACATCTATAGCGCTTCAAGTTTATATATATGTATTCATATTCTTCAAGGTAGTAAAAATAAGGGGAGCTGCATCAGCTCGAACGGGCTGGTTACTGATGAAATCTCACGCCCTATGGCATTTGCCAACTTGCATTATCTTTGGTGCCGATGGGCGTGACATCTGTCTACTTATCAAAGGATGAGTATACTGTACTGCATTCTGTTCTATCCTGTTGTACTGCTGTAAGACATGGGCGTTAAAAATAAGAGTCCTGAAGCGATTACAAGATTATGATCACAGGTGTCTCCGTAGCATTGCTAGCGGTTGGTGGAATCACCATGTGAACAATGTTGAGGTCAGGCGAAGAGTACTACGCAAGACAGACAAGTCGGTCAATGTGAGTGTTCACCCTCATCGCTTAAGGTGGCTTGCACATGTATTGCGCATGCTGAGCCATCGCCTACCTCTACGTGTTATGGCTAGCGGAAGTTGAATTAAATTGGAAGAGGGTTCAGGGTGACCAGATTATGTCGTGACGTTAGTCGATGAAGTCTGTGCCTGTTGGTCTGAGTCGTGTGGGAGATGTAAACTGGCTGATTGCGGTACCTGAAACGATCGGAATGAACGATCGAGGACTCTTGGTGACATAGCTGAAAACTCGTCACAATGGCTCAGATGTATTCACTCCTTGACATTTTCTAAAGCTTGAATATTCACATTAAAGTTTATCTCCTAACACAACTTTAACCTCTCTAATAACACTTTTTCTTTTCATCTGTTCTTTGTATACTAATGTGAAGTATGTTAGGTTGAATCGATGAAGTTCTGTGAGAGGTTGTACGCTGATTTCGTCAGTCATTTGGTCAAAATTAAGGTGTTTATTATATAACAACTGAGCGTAAAATCTCAACTGTTCATCAGTGATAGTTTCTATTCAACAACAGACCACAATTCCAAGGTTTTCATCAACACATAAAAATTTATACGACTTTTTCATGAGCCTAGAGAAACGCCAAGAATACTTAAAGCAGAAATTATCTGATGCTAGAATAAATATCCCGAGTACATTATTGTGTCCCATTGGTTATGGCGGTTGACTTTTAACTAATTTCTCGATGGTTCCGTCATCATTCCTCCTGACAGAATTCTGAGCAACCAGGTGGTATCATTTACCTTTATACAATAAGTCTGGGTCTTTGCCTACTCCACGAATGTGCATAAGATCGCTGATTGACTTCCATTTTCATATAGTTATAATTATTATTATTCAGTGGACAAACCGAGAAGTTCGTCTGGCTTGTATGGTGAGTCGAATAGACAGATAGAAGACTGATATTCGTATTTCTCTCACCTTCACTTGATATGCGTTCAAATGAATTTAAAACGCTATAGTTCAATTATCTGTACTCCATGCCTAATTATCATCTTCATGGTTCAAACGAACCTAATAAGTGTTCATGCATGTGTGTGTATGTGTCAAAAGTTGAATTACAATAGAAATTATGTCATCTTATCGTTCATGTAGAAAGATGACTTGAAACTTCTCCTGCTATCATTTGAAAGTGGAAAGACTGACTACTGTAGACAGAGACAGAGAGATAGAGTCAACGTAGAACCTCGCATATAAGTGCATCGGCTCAAGTTGCCTCACTTCACAATAGCACACAAAGAACAGGTGGATAAAAAAGTAGTGATGTCAAAGTTGAGAAAGTGAGAGAATAAACAATTCTGAAATAACGGTTATCGTGAATATTTAAGTTTCAGAATTGGATACATTTGCGCCATTGTGACCGATTGTCAGCCATGTCACCAAGAGTTCTCAACAATTGTTTCCTATAGTCTCGGGAACTCAAACCACACAGTCTACATCTTTCCACACGACTCAGACCAACAATAAGAGACTTCATAGGCTGGTGCCACGTCTTGGTCTGGTCACCGTGAACCCCCTTCTAACCTAATCCAACTTCTCCTAGGATGGTACACTGAGGTATGCGGTGCATTTACAAGCTATCTCAGTCGACTACGGTTCACAAACCTATTAATCGACTTGCCTTTCTTGTCTAATACACTTCGCCGAACCTCAACATTGCTCACACGATGATTCCACCAGCCGTGAGCAAATGCTACGAAGACATCTACGATCAAAACTCTGTAGGTGCTTCACACCCTCTGATTTTACTGGTCATGTCTCACAGGAAAGAACATACTGCAGTACAGTATACTCGTCACTAGACAGATAGTCATATGTCTGACCAATTGACACCAGAGATGATGCGAATTGGCAAATGCCAAAAATGTCTTTTGTATCTGATATCTGAAATTTCGTCAGCGACCAGTCTCTTCAGGCTTATGCAACTCTGCAACTGGGTGAATTGGTCAACATATTCCACCATTTCACTCCGTACAATTAATTTTGAAGTGATTAAAGTCTGGTTCTAAATCACCATCTTATATTTCATAGGTGCGATATGCATTCCTAACATATTGCTTGTCAAGAATTCACTTTATGCTGAGTGATTCCTGTTGTCTTTGTGAATATAATGTTTTCATTGAAAAGACTTATGTTATTTAGGACTTCTGTGTGACACTATCACATGCTTAATACTAGCAGTCATATTCAAATGTATGTAGCTATTTAGGGTTAAACTATTTGAAGTATACAAAAATACGAAGCACTAACTAATAATATCTTGAAGGAACTTATGCAAAACCGAATGTTCTGTGTGCTGTTGACTCATTGACTAGTTATGTAAAGGTATTCCTATTGGAAAGAAGTAAGTACAAACAAATGGTACTGAAAAGAAACAGAAAGACAGTGTATCTTTCTTATATGCACTGTTCCTTGCAACAGATAAGGAACAACTAAAAAGCTAACAAAGTCTGTTGTCCAAAATGGTATTTTGACGAGGAGTCCCTGAAAAGTTAGTAAACTATTTAACCCTTAATAGAACTTGTGCTGTGTAATAATGATTATAGCAATTTAACAGTCATATTTGACAGGTTTATTTACTAGGTTATAAGCCACGGTTTATATTTGTCAGGCTATGTTACATTTCAATTACCCAAGTGGGTTTTTTTTTATACAAACCACTTGGGTAATTGAAATGTAACATAGCCTGACAAATATAAACCGTGGCTTATAACCTAGTAAATAAACCTGTCAAATATGACTGTTAAATTGCTATAATCATTATTACACAGCACAAGTTCTATTAAGGGTTAAATAGTTTACTAACTTTTCAGGGACTCCTCGTCAAAATACCATTTTGGACAACAGACTTTGTTAGCTTTGTAGACAAGGTTGCCTACTATCCCCCATGATATTCCTGATTGTGGTCTACTGGATCATGCAGCAAACAGTGGGGAGTTGTGAGAAGAGGGGGATACGCTGGACTGCGGAAAAGAACCTAGAAGACTTGGATTTTGCCGATGACTTGTGCCTGATGTCACATAAACTTGAAGATCTACAGGCGAAAACTAACAAGTTGTCAGAAGAGGCAGCGAAGACGGGACTTCAAGTGAATTTAGAGAAGACAGAAGTGATGAAGATACCGCACCAACAACTCCAACAACAACAAGAAACTCCAGTCACCGTCAACGGGAGAAACTTAAAGGAAGTAACCTCCTTCACTTATCTAGGCAGAGCAGCACTGTTTCAACTACAGGCGGCACAGATGAGGATGTCATAGTCAGAATCGGAAAAGCAAGACAGGCCTTCATTAGCCTGAAACCAGTGTGCAGATCTTCTACACTCACCACAAAGCGTGAACAAGATCCGGATTTTCAACACCAACGTCAAATAAGTGCTTCTGTATGGTTCAGAGACTTGGCGGCGCGTCACGAAAGTGATTTCCAATAAACTACAGACATTCATCAACAACTGCTTACACTGGCTCGCTACTAAAGATCGGATGGCCAGAATAATAAGAATAAGCAACAAGGAGTTCTGGGAACGAACCAACGAAGCAAGAACCTATCACCCAACAAATATGCAGGAGGAAGTGGAGATGGATTGGACATGCACTGAGAAGGCCGACTGGGGACATCACGTGTCAGGCCAGTCACTCGAGTGGAATCCCCAGGGGAAGCGACGAGTTGGGTGTCCGAGGTGAGGGTGACATGGAGGAGGTCGTGCGAGGAGGAAATGAGAGGTTGTGGGCTGTCGTGGAACCAGGTTCAAAAGATCTCAGAGAACAGAGTTAACTGGAGACGTGCTACTGAAGCCCTGTGTTCCATTAGGAACCCAAGGGACTAATAATAATAATAATAATAATAATAATAATAATAAATAAGGGGTTTGTATAGTTCACAACCTTTGATCAAATAATCAAAATCTACTCAGTCATATATTGTATACATTTGTTTAGTAGGCACTGAGCCACACCTGTTATATATATGTGAAGGGCTCCTTAAACCTTGGTAGGTAAGTCCAGTAGAGCTTTGACTCGTAATCGATTGGTTGGAAGTTGTCTCAATTCCTTGATCCATCTTTTGGTAGTTGAATAGGGGTAAATAATTTTATTTATCCACTAGTAAACTTATACAATCAACGCAAATATATATATAACATAATATTGATAGTATATAAGTGCATAGTGAAACATACATATCAAGTTAAACAGCTTGACTAAACTGTCTACATTGAACATAACATATACCTTAGAGTGCATTACTTGTCAAATCGTCAACGAAAAAAAAACATAACAAAGTAATTATTTTCGCAGCATATAACTCAAATTTGTGCTTTGTTTTCTACAAGAATTATAAAACATACGCTTATTGATTAGTAGATTCTAAAAAAATATGTTTTTTACTTTTCTTTTCGTTTATAATTTCAATTATGTAAATGACTAAAGAAGAATTTTTAATTGACTAAAATGATAA